GCCATTGCAGCTGAGTCCCGAGGGACCAAGCGGCAGGGAGAAAGGCTCTTGTCTTTAGCTGTGGTGCAGAGCAGTTATCCAAGGGGGGCCACTGAGCACAGCTCCACACCTCAAGGCAGTGAGGAGCCCCAAGGGTTCTGGGAATGGAGCCCCCCAATTTCCCGTTAAGCTTCACTGACAGCCTTTTTTTTAAAAAAAAAAATTTTATTTGTGTGTGTGTGGCCAGCTCAGCCCACCAGGGGGCGGGGCTGGCTGGCATGTGGCGCTGGGGGATAGAACCACGGGCCCTGTGCTTTGCTAAGCTTGTTCTAAGTAGGTGCTTTAGACCACTGAGCCATCTCACCAGCCCGACAGCCCTTTTTATATTTACTTATTTTGGCCTTTGAGACAGGGTCTCCCTAAGCAGTTCAGGCTGGCCGGCAGCTCACTTTGTAGCCCAGGGAGGTCTTGAACTCGTGACGATCTGCCTGTCTCAGCCTCCCTAGTGCTGGGATGACAGGCTTGTGTCTCCAATGCCAGGTGAAGAACAGCAGCTCTACTGGGCGGGGATGAAGGCTGAACTCCGCGGCATTTCCACACCAGGAAGAGGACAGGAGGCTCTGGCCCCCTGCTCCTTGCTTGAGGGTGTAACAGACCCGCGCCACCGTGCCCAGGAGGCACTGCTGAGGAGGAGACCTACCAGGTGACTCCAGCTCTCCAAGCTCAGCCTCAGGTGTAAAGTGGGACAGGGACTCCTGCAGCTGGGGCCAGCAGACGCCTCCCTGTGCAGGGTCCCACGTCGCCCTGGCGAAGGCTGCAGGATGGCGTCACTTAAACACACCCAGCTCTGGAGGCTCAGAAACTTCCCCCAAACGTCTCCTTTCTTGGCCTACATGCTGTTGAGTGGGGTATGGGCCCGGTGCAGCCTGAAGGGGTGGAAATCGGCTCTGGGATGGTGGCCACCTTCCAGAACCTTCCAGCAGCTTCCAGGCTGCCTTCCCGTTCTCTTTTCTCCACCACCCAGGTTTCCAACACCTGGCTGTGGGTTAGGGTTTGGTAGGGTGGAATGGAGAGGCATTTAGGGACACCCACATCTTCAGTCCATCTTCACCTCTGTTTATTTATTTATATGTATTTAGTCCAGGGTCTCCCTATGTAGATCCCTATGTAGCTATTCTCCTGTTTTCAGTCCACCAAGTGCTGGGTGTACAGGCGCCCGCCACTACAGCCAGTCTGATCACTGTCTCAGGACATCCCGGGTGGGATCAAGCCTCGGCTGCTCCACCCTGCCTAAGCAGGTGCTTTAGTCGGCCGAGCTATCTGGCT